GAGAAAAGATTCAAGTTGTCAAGGACTTCATTCTTCTTGGATCAAGTATCAATACTCACGGAAGCAGCAGTCAAGAAATCAAAGGATGTATTGCATTAGGCAAATCTGTTGCACAAGACCTTTTTAAAGTGTTGCAGAGCAAAGATGTCAGCCTGAGGACTAAGGTGCACCTGACACAAGCCATAATATTTTCAATCACCTCATATGCATGTGAAAGCCAGACAGTGAATAAGGAAGACCATAGAAGAATTGATGCTTTTGAGTTTTGGTGTTGAGGAGAATATTGAAAGTACCATGGGCTGCCAAAAGAACCAATAGATCCGTTTTGGAAGAAGTACAGCCAAAGTGCTCCTTGGAGGCCAAGATGGCTAAACTTCATCTCTCATACTTTAGACGTATTGTCAAGAGGGACCAGTCACTGGATAAGGATGTCATGTTTGGTAAGGTGGAGGGTCACAGAAAAAGAAGACCCCCAATGAGATGGATTGGCCAAGTGACAGCATCGATGAACTCAAACGAGGCAACAGTAGTGAGGTTGGCCCAGGATTGCGTTCTGCTGTGCATAAGGTCGCTATGGGTTGGTACTGACTCGATGGCACTTAACAACAACAATCAAATTGTTTTGTAAAACATTTCTCGATGACATTACATTATTGGTTACAATATTATTTATAACTGAATGGAAGCCTTTTTTTTAAAATTTTCCTTTAATTACTGCTTCATTCTTAAAACTAGTTATTGATACAGGTTTACAAATACTAATTACTACAATATTGTAGCTAAAACACTAGAAATTTTGGCAAAATCAGAGACAATAAAAACACTACCATCAGCAAAAGCAACATGTATATATAGCACATGCAGACAAAATCACACGTGATTTGAAACACCATTGTAAAACAGCAGCTCTGACTGGAACACATTAGAAAGTTCAAAAAGTAAATTAGCATACAGTATTTGGCTGGTGGCTGTGTGCCGTGGAGTCGGTTCTGACTCATAGCGACCCTGTACAGGGTTACTGAGGCTGTAAATCTTTAGGGGAGCAGAATGCCTCATCTTTCTCCCGTGGAGCAGCTGGTAGTTTCGAACTGCTGACCTTGCAGTTTGCAGCCCAACTCATAACCACTACACTACCAGAGCTCCTTAGTATTAGCCTAGTAGGTATATTAATACATGTAAATTGGGCTTATGAAAAATGTTTCTGTTATAGCTAACTATAGGGATATTTGTATTAAGAAATTTCACAGACTGGCATTTTGGTGCCATTCCTGACTACAGTGCCACTCAGTGCAGTTTGTACCCCTCCTCCCCTCAGTCCCCCTACTGATGTCACTGGGTCTCACTGCACTCTGGTCAGCACTGAAGAATATAACTTATTAAATCCTTACTAATTTATTGGGTGAAAAATGGTATCTTTTTTCTATCATATGTGAACTGTTAACCATTTTGTAACCTTATATATTTGCTGTGTGTTTTATACAATTTTCCCCCCTTTTACTGTGTGACATTGTTGAATGCTGTCAAGTCAGTTCTGACTCAGAACAACCCTGTATAGAGTTTCCAAGGAGCAGCTGATGGGTTTGAACCACCAACCCTGTGCTTGACAGTCCAGTACTTATCCTACAGTACTTATCCTACTTATCCTACAGCACCACACCAGGACTCCTGTGTGAAATTGGTGTTTGAAAATAATGCCATTGTAATTTCTTACCCTTTTGTTGGTGTTCATGATAAGGACACTCTGATGAGCTGTCTGAGTTACCAGACTTGTTTATTGATGTTAATGATAACTGTCTTTCAGAATGTAAATATTGTACTTATCTAGGGAGATGAGACAGATTACCTAAAGGGTAGAAACATGTCTTGAATATGGAAGAACTTCATCTTTTTCTCCTGATAGAGCCTTATTTAGAGTAGCCTTGCCTTGTGGGGATGGGGTGGGAAGAGAAGGGGTATTTTTACTCCATTGTGTTCTTATTCTCTGTATACTGTAGATTTACACAAGGCCACATCCATTGCTTTCCTTTTAGGAGTTGAGGGATGCCAGACAAGATTGAGTTAGAAATGTCTCAATCAAACAGTTCCCTGGACCCAGATATAAGGGTCTCCAGGGGAGGTGGAGTTTGAGATATAAAGAGAAAAAAATAAAGGAAATTAGGAATGTTGTACATGATTCTTAGGATTCTATGTGATTCTTTCCTCAATGGGTTACTCGAGTGTGTCCCAAGCTTCACTCATGCATCCTTGTCATTTTTGTTTTGGGACAGGGAGAGTCATATTCTGTACTATTATTTACTAAATTTACTATTTTTTTTTAAAGCCCATTTTATTTACTCAAATTTATTTTAAAAATAAACTTTGTCACTTCTATATATGGAAAACCAGTATAATTTGCCATAAATCAAAAGTCACCTTAAAAATAAACATAGTGAAAAACAAAAGTCTTATTAAATTCTAAGCCAGATTCTGTTGCTTGCAAATAATGTCTCTCCTGAGGCTGTCCTCACTTGTTTTAAAAAACTAAAGTCTTATAGAGTAGCACCATACTGAGTCTTTCTCCTTGAGGCTAGCAAAAGGATTTTTTAACAGAATTAAAAAAAAAAAAAATAGAATAAAGGAACAACTGTTTTCTTTTGGGACTCAGTATTTAATGCTGCATATGTGGAGTCCTGGTGTGGCGCTGTAAGTACTAGACTGCTAACCGCAAGGTTGGTGTTTCAAACCCACCTCCTTGGAAACCCTATACAGGGTTGCTTTGGATCGGAACCAACTTGATGACCCTTAACATCAACAACAACGGTAGCATGTGGACTAAAAATTATCTTCTGTTCTAGAGATAGGCTAGATTATGCTACCTTAACAAATTAAACAGGCATCTCAGTGCGCTAATACAATATAGATTCATTTCTTGCTTGTGCTACATGTCAGAATGGGGTATGGTAGTGGATAGAGAAGAGAATCTCTCCATGTAGTTATTCAGTGAGCCAGGCTGAGGACTTCACCATCTGAAATCTCTCCAAGTCACCACAGCAGAAGAGAATTTATAGAAAACTCACAACTGCCTTGTTAGACTTTAGCCTGCAAGTGATTGCCTCCCTTCTGGCTAGAACTAGTCATTTGGCCTTGCCTAAAAGCAGAGTCTTGGTGTGTCACTGTAGGAGAAGCACTGGACTGCTAATCATAAGGTCAGCAGTTCAAACCCACCAGCCACTCCTTAGCACTTAACAACACAATAACAGGAGCAGAGGGGCTGGGATATATAAATAAGCACATGGATTATTTGGTGAGCATTGCTGTCTCTGGCCCATAGGGCTAGTCTAGATGTATCTAGACAAGGAATGGATGGAGGTATTGTTTATTAAAGAAGGCAATGATTATGTCTGGGACCATTTATAATATTATTCATATTAAGCACTTGAAGATGGTCAGACGTGTCAGACTATCCCTTGGTAATGGTATCTCCTTTCTTGAAGCTTCATTAAAGAACGGTCAAAAGTCAACGCAGTTCCTCTGAAGAACAAGAAAGCCTCCAGTTTTCATGAGTTTGCTCGGAATACCAGTGATGCTTGGGACATTGGTGATGATGAGGAAGAGGACTTTTCCTCACCTCCTTTTCAGACTTTGAACTCAAAGGTTGCTTTAGCCACTGCTGCCCAGGTCCTGGAAAACCACAGCAAGCTGAGGGTGAAACCAGAACGATCCCAATCAACAACATCCGACGTCCCTGCCAACTACAAGGTCATCAAGTCCAGCAGTGATGCCCAGCTCTCCAGAAACTCCAGTAAGTCTATCCTGCCCCTGTTCATAGCCACAGCATTCCCAGCAGAGTGTATTTTAAATGAAGAGAGATTTTTCTTTAGGGACTCACTCAGATCTTCCATTGGATGATCTACTCGGAAGCACATCAGTGAGTCTAAGTAGTCATAAGCTATACTGGCTCCTTTCCACCTTGAGGGCTCTTAGCCTATCACCTGGGATTTCACTGATACCCAGATGTTGCCCACCATTGTTTTTCTTCTATGGTGAAGTCCAAAATTTTTGTGGTTTAATTACTTCATGTTGCTTTAAAGCCTGGTCAGGTTTAATAATGTAGACTAAAGGGATTTCTGCACTATTAATGGCCCTGCTCAGCTCTAAGGAACATTAACATAAGTTGTCTTTTTCCTGTTCCTGAGGGACTGGGTCACAGCTTGCTGTTTGCCAAGATGCCCATCAGGCTAGGTGGGGGAGGGAGGAGATGCTAGTTCTTTCTAGGAAACTGGTGTTAATAGCCACATGGGGTGATGGTTTTATATAAGACACTTGGAGACTCCTGGTATATTCCTTTTAGTATCCACTTCTGTGTTTTAGTGTTGCTCTAAAGAATTTTATGGAGTCCTGGTATGGTGCTGTAAGATAAGCTCTGGACTGCTAACTGCAGGGTCATTGGTTCAAACCCACCAACCACTCCTCCGATACCCTATATAGGTCTCAAGTCAGAATCAACTTGAAGGCACTTAACAACAAGGGGTTTTGTGGAAGTTGGTTATTCTGAGCGAGAGAGGAAAGTACCATCATTCGAGTGAAAGTGAAAAAGGGTGAAAAGGAAGTAGAGAATGTCAGAGCCCGGGAGTGTGTCTTAGCTCATATTCAAAGGGAATTTCTTTGTTTATAGTTTCAGACTAAACATATGGTCGTACAGTTACTTTCCGTTGATGATTTCAAGCCCCATTTCATGTTGATTGACCACCATTACTACTATAGGCTGTAAAAAGTATCTTTGCACTGTGATGAGGGTCTCCAAACATTGCCAGCGTGAGGGAGGCCCTTCTCACGATTCCTAATGAACTGCCCTTATACAGCCAGGGCCTTCCAGAGCATTCCTTAGGGGGGTTCAGTCCTGTGCAGATACTACCTATTAATAACAAATATCAGAGACACAACATCGGTCTCAACTTTGCAGTGTGTGGTCTACATTATCTAGGCCCCTTATTACAATAGGTCTCCTAGCCACGTACCTGGTGCAGCTGTGTCTGTAGACCTAGTTGTGCTGGTAGGGTAGTATCCACTGCTTAGTTCTTGTTATGATGACTGCTTTTTTAAGACCTAGATAGGTACAGAATATGAAGGTCATTAATTAAAAACAACTTTTTTTGGGGGGGTGTATTAGTTATCTAGGGCTGCTATAACAGAAATACCACAAACAGAAATTTATTTTCTCACAGTTTGTTGTCGTTAAGTGCAGTCAAGTTGGTTCTGACTCATAGCGACCCTGTATAAGGTTTCTGTGAAGCAGCTGGTGGGATCTGCTTCTCCCATCTCTGCTTGCTTACTTGTGTGCTTAATGTGCTCTTTCATGTCTCAGAAGAGTTTGATTTAAGTTACACCCTATATTAATACTGCCTCGTTAGCGTGGCAAAGAAAGCAGGACAAAGCACTGGACTGCAAGGTTAGTTTGAACTGCAAGGTTCTAGGCTCAAACTCACCAGCCACTCCTCAGAAACACTATACAGGGTCTCTGTGAGTCGAAACTGACTGGACAGCACTTAACAGCAACACACAGTTTGAGGGGTCACAATTCAAATCCATAACGAGAGGTTGGTAGTAAAGTAAACAAGGGTTTCAGAGTCAGGCATATACTAAGGTGGTATGTGAGCCCTCACAAGTTACTTAACCTCTCTGAGCAACAGTTTCCTCATCTGTATAATAGTAAGACATTCCTACCATACATTAGTAGGAGTCCTGGTGTGGTGCTGGACTGCAAAGTCGGTTTGATCCACAAGGTCACTGGTTCAAGCCCACCAATCACTCCTCAGAAACCCTATACAGGGTTGCTATGGGTCAGAACTGACTCAACGTCATTGAACAACAACTGTCTGCTGTAATGATCACACAAAAGCTCATATGTGAAAGTGGCACATCACAATGCTTGGCACATCTTAGGTACTCAATAAATGCTAGTCCTGTATTGCCCCGTTTCTCCTACCACCATCTAGTGTAGACATACCTGGAGCCAGATCGAGTTCCACTTGAGTTTGTGTTCCTGTGAGTCCTGTTCCATTTTGTTGGGGAAATGTCAGCATTGAGAACTGCAGCCTGCCTTAGGCCAGAGCTTCTCATCCAGTGTGCAGGACACATGGAGGGCCAAGAGCAGGCACGAGTTGTGCCAGCGATATTGAGCCTCTCGGCCCCTGGGACACTGAGTGGGGCCTGGGGCTGTTGGAGAGTAGCCACCTCCTTATTGCAGAGTAGTTTTGTCATCATTTGGTATGTGCTTTACAGCATCACAAACCACTATTTGGCAAGAGAAGAATTTCAGGGTGGGGCAGAAAGAAAAGATTTGATTCTCCTTTGGAGTCACCAAAAAAGATCCCGAAAGTTGCTGTAGCATCCGGAGTCTCTGTTAGCACATAAGCTCCTTGGTATGTGTGGTAAAAATGCAGCCCTTCGTCTGGGCAGACGGAATACAAGTTGGGTCTCACCCCTTACCCCCTAACTGGGCGCCTTCAGGTGGCACACACACGGTGGGAGAGGAAACCCACACCTGAACAGTTAGTTAGGGTTAAGATTTCTTAGACTCTGTGTTCTTCAAACAGCCTGGTATGTTTCTCTTCCACATGATCTCAGGTGATACATGCCTGAGGAACACTCTTCACAAGCAGCAGTCACTCCCTCTCCGGCCCATCATCCCCCTCGTTGCCCGGATCTCGGATCAGAATGCTTCAGGAGCTCCCCCAATGACTGTGAGGGAGAAAACCCGCCTAGAAAAATTCCGGCAGCTTCTCTCCAGTCACAACACTGACTTAGGTGAGTTCCTGTGAGCCCCAGTAAGGTAGGACCTCTTGGTGACTAGAATTCTCAGAGACCCAGAAGCTATTGCTCTTTATTCTTCCTTCTTTTACTTTTCCAGCATCTCCTGATCTGATGCCCATTGCAGTGACCTGCAGGTATTAAGTCAGAAGTATGTTTTTAGAGACTAGGGACCAAATGAGGTGGGACTTGGTTTCTGTGGCCTGTAGACCATAGTGCAACTATTCCAGCTTGGGTTGTCCTCACCTCCAGGCGATTCTTACTGAAATCCACACCCACTGGTCTTTATGTTCCCCTCTAACTCTAATCTTTGAGCTGACTGGTTCGCTGCTACCGCAAAGCTGTGTCCTTGGCACTTTGCTGCTCAGGGCTGCTGTTTTGGGTTTTCCCCACGCTTATCAGTAGCAGGTGGCAGCGGCAGTGGTGGAGGTATTATTTGAATGATGGGAGGTATCTGGCAGTGCTGGTTGGGGTTTGGTTTAGGGCATGTTTGGGAAGAGCTAATCCAATCAGATGTGTTATCTGTTTGCAGATGAACTGAGGAAGTGCAGCTGGCCAGGGGTTCCCAGGGAAGTTCGGCCTGTAACCTGGAGACTCCTGTCGGTGAGTTCTGCCCACTCTAGAAAAGTGTGAGCCCCTTAGCTCTTCCAGCCCAGTGAGGGTAGTCTGGGCACCTTTGTCTTTTCTAGTCCTGCAGAATAGGCACTAAACTGGGACTATGGTCCTGTTTCTGTGCATAAGGCAACCGTCTTTGTGTTTTTAGGTTGCAAGACTTAAATTTTCTTTTAATTTTTTTGTTGTTGAGAATGTATATACACAGCAGAACATACACCGATTCAGACATTTCTCCATGTAAAATTCAGTGGCATTAATTACATTCTTCCAGTCGTGCAACCATCCTCACCCTCCTCTTCCAAGTTGTCCCTCCCCCATTAAAGTGAGCTTACTGCCCCCTAAGTTTCCTTTCTAATCTTTCGAGTTGTAAAGCAATGTTCCTGAGATTTCATTCTCCTACATGTAAAAGGGGAATATGTTCTTCTTCCCGCAAATGTGGAAGAGCACAAGCTTGCTCTTATAGTCACGACTTCACTTTCTCAACAGAGGAGGAAGAATATGAGTTGAGTGAACCAGTATAACCACAGCACTTGCTTTGGGCAATTTCCCACATTCCCTGTACTTTACCCTGTAATCAGTATGAGTCACCACAGTGGTTGTAACCAATCCTGTGACTGTGCAGGGCTGAGACATGGGCCTCCAGTGGAAGCCCACACTCCTCTTGCCTTCAGTGTGCCAGCCATGGTGATGGGAACTCGTTCATTCATTCCTCTATAAAGATTTATCACAGTGCCTGCAGTTCGCTAGGAACAGTGCCAGATGCAGTGTGGTTCTGCACAGATGAATGAACCACAAACCCTACTTTCCAGGCACTCACTCCCTGTAGAATGCATTATGTAAACATCTGCAAGAGGGAGGATCTCTCCTGACTGCCCTGCCCCAGCCTCGGTCTTGCACCCATGTATTCATTGCCTCTGCCACTTGTAATAAGTTTGAATGCTATTTCAGAGTAGAGTTGGTGAGAATGGAAGGGGATGCAAGAGATGTAGAAACTGAGAATGGGATCTGGACCAGGGAGAAGAATGAAAGTTGGCCCGGAGCTCTGGTCAGGAGGGAGACTGCGGCCAGAAGTTCTGTGGCCGGGTGTTGTAACTGCCACCTAGAAGAGTCTATTCAATTTCCTAAGCCAGTAATTCTGAATGTTACATAAAAGGAATGTACAACCGGCATCAGCTTACTTGGCACATCACAGCACACGCTGTGTACATTGCTGGATCCCCTTGATTCTTAGAAGTCTGACTCTGCACACATGTAGCCCTTGGAGGCCCTGATATGGGTCCAGATCCCTCCCACTGACCTACATTCACCACTCTACTGTGCCAGCTCTGAGAGCACTGCAAGTTCACCAGCAGCACAGACTCCAAGTGCGCAGAGGAGCAAATAACCCTGAGAAAATTGGCTTTGCTTCGCCAGCCCGCATGTGGAGCTCAGTGAATGAGGAGAGGGAAGACACTCAGTGGCCAGAAGCCAAAGGGAATTTATCTTCTGTTTCTTTGATAGTTTCCAAGTCACTGCTCAGGTTTAAATTAAAATTAAGGGTTTATCCAACCAATGTCTGTCTCCATCTGACCGGCAGTCCTGTCTGTAGGGCTATCTCCCAGCAAACACTGAGCGGAGGAAGTTGACCCTACAGCGGAAGCGGGAGGAATATTTTGGCTTCATTGAGCAGTATTATGACTCTCGAAACGAGGAGCATCACCAGGATACCTACCGACAGGTATAGTCAACACCTGCTGCCTCTTCGTTCTTACCTCAATAGTCAGAATCATCAGGTAGGTGTCCTGATAATGCGGGTTACCAAGTCTTCAGGCAATGGCATGCTGCTTAGGAATACCCACTCCACCCAACCCAACCCCAGGTTGCTGCTTTCCTTCTTCCCTCCAGCAGCTCTGATTTTTCCCATTATTAAAAAAAAAAAAAGAGCATATGTATATGATCTCTGGTATGGCACTGTAGGATCAGCACTGGACTGGTAACTGCAAGGTTGGTAGTTTAAACCCATCAGCTACTCTTGGAAACCCTATTCAGGGTTGCTATGAGTTGGGACTGACTTGACGGCACACAACAACACACACACAAATATATACATACACAAATATGTATACATGAGTATATATAGTAGAAGCCATGATGCCGCAATGGATTAGCACTGTGTTACTAACTACAAAGCTAGCATTTCAAACACACTGGTACTCTGCAGGTGAAAGATAAGGCTTTCTGCTCCTGTGAAGATTTATAGTCTCAGAAACCCTAGGGAGCAGTTTTGTTCTGTCTTACAGGGTCACTGACTTGGAATCAACTTGATGGCAGTGGGTGTTTGTGTGTGTGTGTGTGTGTGTGTGTGTGTGTGTAAGATCAGCACAGGACTGTGAACCAAAAGGTCAGCAGTTCAAACCTACTCACTGCTCCTTGGAAGCCCTATATAGGATCCCTATCAGTTAGAACTGACTCCAAACCTATACAGGGTTGCTTTGGGTTGGAACTGACTTGATGGTACTTAGCAACCCTGGGTTTCTGAGGAGTGACTGATGAGCTTGAACTGCTGACCTTGTGGTTCAAACTGACTTTGTAGTCCGGTGCATTAACACCAGGACTCACTCACTCTCTCTCTCTCTCTCTCTCTCCATATATATATCAAAAAGTTCATGGAAAAATGGAATTGGTAGATAATGGAATAGGCATTGGTCTATGGTGGTGTTTCTTAAAACGTAATGTGCATACAAATCATCTAGGATCTTGATAAAATTCTCCCTAAGAATTATGATAAAATACAGCTTCTCATTTAGTAGATCTGGGTACTTCTAACAAGTTCCTAGGTGATGCTGATGCTGCTGGACCACAGACCTCTCTGAGGAGTAAAGGTGACAAGACACAAGGTGAAAGACAGGTTCACTCAGCAGCAGTCCAGTCTCTGGACTTCCACATCTGTGTCCTTTGGCACACTGTGTCTGCCAGTCTGCAGGAGTGTAGCCATCAGCAGCCTTGGTGGGGAGTTTTCTCTCATCACTCATAGTGGTCTCCCCAGCCTGAAAAAGGTCTACTGGAAGTATCATATGTTGAGAAGAGAAGTTATCATCTGTTGGTTGCAGATGGAAACAGACTGTGGGACAGGCAGCTGTCTACAACTGAGGTGTGTTACTTTCAGCCCCCAAACTAAAGTAGCCTCTACCGCTACTAATATATCTTTAGGATTGTTAGACTGGGTATTGAGAAATCACCAAAGTCCTCTTCCCTGGGGCCAAAAACCAGTGGTAGTGACCTGTTTGGTATCAGAAGTAAGAACCTTCAGTTCCAAGGAAGGCCAAGTCCCCTGGGTCCTTCCCTGTGTTTTAGACGTCATGACTTCCTGAGCAAGTCCTCCAGATCTGGCATGCCATTGTGACTGCAAGGACTTTTTTAGTTCTTGGGAACTGTTGGCTGAGTAAGCTTCTGAAAGAGGGGTACACATTTTGATCATACCTGTTAAATAATTGCCAGCCCAGAATGAAACATAAAGTCTAGAGCAATAAGAAAAAGTAATTGATTCTCTTAGGTTGTGAGACCTATTGCTTTTTGATATAAATAGTTTACTTTGGGAGGCTTCCTCACTGTTCGATAAGCTGTCACTATCACGGAAACACTTTCCTGATGGACAGGTAAGTTCAGCTAGACTTTTTTCTGTATAAGTCAGTTCTTTCTATGTATAAATTGTGCTCTTTCTTTTATTTTCTTGATTCCCAGCTCTTAAGAAAAAACCTTCTCAAAATTGCTTATCAAAAGAATGAACTTGCATTTGCATTTTTGGATATGACTTCTCTTTTACAGATTCACATTGACATTCCAAGGACAAATCCTCTCATTCCATTGTTCCAGCAGCCACTTGTACAGGAGGTGAGGAAAGTACTTACCATTCTCTGACCCTTCTCCCTGCATCCTCTGTGGCACCTGTTCTGTGTGAGCCAGGGAGCTTTGGTCCTGTCAGAGCACTTTTTTTTTTTTTTTTTTTTTTGGCATAGAAGGAATACTTTAATTTGGGAATGTATAACATGTTGCAAATTTTACAAGGTTTTATGAGGGTGGTGGGATTTTGAGTCAAGAAATGGCATTTATAAACCAAGGAACCAATTTAGCCCATGTAGAATTCTCCACAGGTCAATCTGATGAAGCACACAAAGCAAAACACTAATGGGAAGACTCTTAGCCATCATCTGTTCCTACCTCATTATTTAACAGATGGGAGATACACAAGTAGCTCTAGGTTTTCTAGAAATTTTAAATGCTACCAAAACTTAGGCTTTACAAATTCCATCTCAGCTATCTAGGACTGTGATACTATATGCCAGAACAGACATTAGAAAAGCCCTTCTCCAGGATTAATGAAAAGCCAATAACTTTGGGTCACAATAATTTAAAAGATAGAAAAGGATCCCATATTACTGGAATTTTTTTTAAATGACAATTTATACAATAAATGTTAAAGAAAATTATAATACAACATGCAAGTGGTCTAACAGCCAAAACTCAACAAGATTGGTTGACAAAAAATGCTGATCAATATTACTATTTTCCATGTAGCATCTTGACTTGATAGCACTGAGCAGTATCTATCAATTATGAACTTCAAGATGATACTGGGGTATATGTTTCCAAGTTTGAACTACCAGTATGACCTAAAAGAACTCAGAAAATAAAGTTTCTAATTTCAAAAGACACATAGTAAATAAAATGGAGTAAATCTCAATAGTACCTACTTACATACAAGCGAAATCAGAATCAACGCTAAGAGTCCATCTTAGTCATGGCTTTATCACTTAATAGGGAGAAGATCTTGTTCCAGATTGATCTGTCAGAGCACTGTCTCATGCATTTTCATTTGGTCTTCATAGCAAACCGGTGAGATTAAAGAGGTTAAGACTTGTCCCATGTCTTGAAGCTAGCAGATGGTATAGTAAAAACTAATACCTGCATCTTAGAATCCCTATTCCTATGTTCACTCTACTTTATCCAGCTGTTTTGAGATCTACAAAGTTAACAAAGCACATGAAAGGTCTTAGTGATTAGTTTCTTTTTAGTGACAAAACTTTGTCAAGGTCAGAGGTGCTGTAAGGGCACTTAGGAGAAGATGGCAAGAAATTATTGATGTGGTTCTTTCCATTCCTCATGCAAAACTTGAGTGCCACCCTTTTTGTCACCTCCTTCCTGATAATGCAGTTGTGACTTGCAGTTTGAGGATGTGATTCTGTTTGGTATTGTTAATTATTTCTACTGTGAAAGTTTTTTGACCCAAACAGTAGCCATCATCTCATTGAGATTAGAGGTTTTCTTTGTAGCTTCCCAGTAGCTAGGACACTGGGTATGAGTGTTTTTTGAATTGAGCTTTCTGGTATCCTCAAAATAGAGAAGGATGTTGGTGAAAACAACCAAGATCATTTCTGTTTGACTTTGGGTTAGAGTCATTGTTCTGGTCAATAGGTGTCTCCACTGGGAAAATTTTAGGGCAGCACTATTATTTTACTTATAGGATTCAGCTCAAAGGAAGCTTAAAACCCATTCGGGATTCCTTTGCTTGCTTCTCCTATTACATTTCCCATGGCTCCACCCTACTATTCCTCATTTTAACTTGGAGATATTAAAATACTTCTCTTTTTCTTGTACATACTTTTTCTAAACTTGAGGATAGGTAAAGTAGTTTGCTTAAAAGATTTCTCCTAGGAAATACTGCATAGGACCACTATTTTAAAAGACTAAGAAAAAGAACCCATACTAAAGAGTTGGGGAGGATTCTTAGCTGGTTACTGGAATGTGAGGGGTGGGGTGAGGGGAGGGAGGGGAAGGTGGAGCACAGGGTAGGAAATAAACACAGGATAGTTTCGGTGCTGGGAAAATGGGCAATACACAAGAAGGAGGAGGGGAATGGAAGAACAAGGCAGATGGGAGAACAGTTAAGCAGGTTTACATGGGCTAAATGGGGCAGAGGTAAATATTGATGTATGCACAACTTTGGAACAACAGGGCTCTGGAATACAGGGATTGAGGCATGGTTGGAATGGGCAAAATGGGTGAAATAATGTTAAGATGCTTGGCTGTCTTTTGAATCTTGGTTTCTCTTGCATACCATTATAAAATAGACACTTGAGAGTAGAGAAAGGAATAGCCAGAAATAGCACCATAGAAAGCTCGTAAGTCCGCCTTCTGCCTATAACTGATTGGAATACCTAAAATGGGGCTACAACGTGCCCAGTGAAGGAGGCTTCCTGTGCAGCCTGTGCATTGCATAAGACCATAGGTGGAATCCTGAACCCCATCCAGAATCTTCTGAGGTGGGAAATTTTCACTTTAAAGGACAAGCAGACCAGCCTGGAGCAGCTAGAAGAACAGAAGATACTTCTTGAAAGAAAGTCCGACAGGAAAAATACAAAACAATAACAGCAGTCTGACTGATAATTACAAGAACAAGGAATTTGTTCGCCCAGGAGACATCAAGGCAAGTGGTCGGGTCCCCTCAGGGAAAACCCCCTTCCAAGACTAAAACTCAGTGGGAATACATGAGCAGACACATGCTCTGACTGGCAACCATGTTGGTCATCGATAAGGGGAAGTGAGGGAAAAACAGCAACGAAGCTGCCAACTAAGTCCAACCACATTCAATAGACTCCTGTGAACACATGTGGAGACTTGGTTGGCCAGCAGTTTGGCAAGACCTGGGGACTCCTGGGACCAGAGTCAGTGACATAGCCACAGAGGACTAGAGTGGAGAATGAAGTGTCCAGCTGATAAGAGAGGGCATATGCACAAGAACACCCACACTTGCAGATAATACCCACTTGACCTGGCTTCAAAGTCTGGATAATCAGAGCTGAACTAGAAGAAGAAAAAAGAGGGAAAAAAGAGTAATCTGATACAATTTGATGAACTTGACCTACACCTTATGGATGCAGTAGCTCAAAAAAGGGAACAAATCTTTACAGCGAGGATCATTCCTACCCCCTCGATACACAGAGTAGACAGGGATGGGCAACTTGGACATTGGCTACCCAAAATGGGGGAGCTACAAAGGCAAGAAGTGGCTGGTTTACAAGCTTTCAAGAGGGAGCCTAGATCCAGAGGGTGCAGAGTAAGGTAGAGTCTCCACTGAATAGTATCCAATCTGTCTGTGCGGGGCTGGTGAAAGGAAATGGGGATAGCACTCAAGTAGTACTAATAGTGAATAATTACTATCAGGACTGACTGTAAGGGTTGGAAATGTAAAAGTAGATGTTTTGTAGCAAAAGGAGGGGAGTGGTTGACTTTGCAGTCCAGGAGTGGAGGTCTCTGGGACCATCAAGGGAAAAGAGTGGAGTATGGGGCCCTACCCAGAGAAACAGTGACGCCAAAGATGGAGGCAGAGACGATGACGTGGAGAGATGGAGCCACTGGAGACTCTAGACCCAGAGAGGGAGAGGAGCTGTGTGCTGACGACCAGGGGGCAGGCTTGTGGGCTGTGCCCTTTGTTTGTTTGATGATGCAGAAAGGGGATTGTAATCATGGCAATGTAACGTTACATAATAGCATGAATGTAAAGCTGATGCTCTCCCATGTAAGCTATCACATAATTCACAATAAAACAGTTTTTTAAAAAAAGACTTCTCCTAGTAGTAGAAGCTGAATGCAAAGAAGGAAACTCATATTACATTCCTTCCAGTTTTCTTAAATCATTTTGTCATCAAGTAGGTTATTGTCCTCTTGTTGTTAAGTTGGTTCTGACTCATAGTGACCCTGGATAGGGTTTCCAAAGAGCAACTGGTGGGTTTGAACTGAAGACCTTGTTGCTCGCAGTCCCTGTTCCTACAGCGCCACACCAGGAGTCCTCTTAAGCATAATAAAAATGCCAACCAGGGAAAAATAATGAAGTGACACTGACTACTGAAAGACTTGGCTTTGCAAGCCTAAAAGAGTTGAAAATTTATTCCAGTAAGTCAGAATTACCCACACTATTAGAAGAGGCTGGAGTCTAGGTATGGCACTGCAAGTTAATGTGCTGGACTGCAAAGTTGGTTTGAACCATAAAGTCAGCAGTTCAAGCTTACCATCCACTCCTCAGAAACCCTATACAGGGTCACCATGGATTGGAACTGACTCAACAGCACTTAAACAGCAGTAGAAGAGGCATAGGAAAAACCTTCAGGGATTATCTGGTTCACTCCTCTCTACAAGGCAAGACTTTCCCAGATTTTCATAATGAAGATTCACTGGTCTCCCCCGGTAAGCAGCCTTGGTGCTCTTCAGTTTCCATCACTTTGACATCTTCCTGTGTACAGTGCGAATAAGGCTGTCTGCATTGTCCTGTCCTTACTAGAGATGGACCATTACAGGTCTCCTGATTCTGAACAGCTAGCTTCCATGCACTTGGCCATTGTCAAAGTCACCAAGGGATTGAGAGATTGGAATAGAAGCCCTCATCAGTCCTCAGGACGACTGAACTGGAGGAGCTTACTTGTTAGCAGCATCCTGCGTCTCCTCATCCGGTGCCCATTGCAGTGACATGCAGGTCTTAAGTCAACAGTATGGTACCAAAGATTAGGGATCAAGTGAGGTGACCACAGTAGGTACAAGGAAACAGGGAATGGAACCTGGATTCATTGAGATCTTCCTGAGTGTGGTGGGTCTAGCTTGAGTTAGGGAGGGAAAGGTGTCATTTATCAACAGATGGTGTGGCAGAGTCTAGTGGTGGCAGAGATTGTTCTCACGCCCATAAGAGCAGGAGTGTCAACAGGGGAAGTGTTTGCTCAACTGTGCCCATCAGCTGGGAGACCGACTCAGCCATCAATGACATGGGAGCTGGGAAACACCCTCCGCTGTGTCTCTAGATATTCTGCTGCTTTTCTCCTATACTAGCTAACCAACTCCAAAGCCAGATAGCCTTTGTTTTTGGTTTTGTTTTTAATTAGTTTCCAGGAGGTTTTCTTCCCTTGCATCTGACCTCTGAAAGTGCCTCTTCAGTCTGACCCTAAAACTGACTGGCTAGAACTTTGCTAAAACCCTTGCCCAGCTGCATGTATTCCCCATTACCTCTGCCATCTATCTGGTGTGGTGCACAGATACATGAGGTCAAAGCCAGTCTTAAGAAAATATATCAGGCTCAGGAGTCATGGTCCCCCAGAATGAAGCCAGGGAACAAATGTTATCAGATTGAGAGGAGCTGGGGGGAAGCTCAGGGTACCTTATGAAGGTGGAGGGAAGTATAGTTCACTGAGACAGGGCAGGACTCTCTAAATGGACTGTAAAGGACTTCTAGTTTATCTCTGCCTAGGCCAGAGGCATCCCTGATACCTCTATTCTCAAATTCCTCACTGTGGGAGTCCTTAGGGTTTGCACTGTTTGGCTTCCTATCCCCAGCGAACCTCTGGGCTGCATCTGATATATGAAGTGACTTCCTGTCTGTATAGTCTGTCACTTGCTCCTAGTCAAGCTGGCTCAGAGCTAGATCTATATCTGGATCTAGATCGCCTGCGTTTTTCTCCGCAGAGGTGAAGGAGAATGTTTTTCTCCGCAGAGGTGAAGGAGGATGGCAGAGTAGGGGTTTCTTTTCTAAAGCCCACAATGACCAAAGATTTAGAAAAAAGGTATCAGAACTAAAATGTTCCAGTTGCTTGCTCCTGGAAATAGAGAAACGTTATCTACAATGAGAGTACTGAGGACACCCATAGCAAGTCTTTTCTAAGCCATTTGAGTCCGAAATTGAAAAAATAAAGGGCCAGAAGTATCTAGCCTTGCTTGAAAGCAACTAATGTCTTAGAAACATTTTTCATTTATATATTCCTCCTTTGTCCGACTGTATTTTTACATTTTCCTAAAAATTCTGCACCAAACCTAAGAGCAATTATGAGGTAGATAAACGGAAGATGGGGGAGTATCTATCCATGTTCTAACTCTCATGTCTTCTTCTTTCTCATTTTTCTAGATCTTTGAAAGAATTCTGTTTATTTGGGCCATTCGACACCCTGCCAGTGGGTATGTCCAGGGAATTAACGACCTGGTCACTCCGTTCTTTGTCGTCTTCCTCTCAGAATATGTAGGTAAGAAGCACAAGAACCAAGTTGAACACACTTTTACTCTTTATCTGTGATCTGTTTGTTTTTCCAAAAAGTTTCAGCCATTAGATGTCTTGCTAAGAAGGAAATAGTGACTTTGGGACATACAACTAAATCTATTTTAAAAGTGGCGGTGGCAGCAGCTTGGAATTTATCTCTCAAGATAGCCACAGATGCCACCTAAAAAGTCCTGCTGTTTCACAAGAATGACCAAATTCATGTATTTATATTCTGAAAATTTGATGGTTATTTTAGGATTATTTTACACTTGTTTCCAAGATTCAGGCTCTCATGCATGAAAGCTAGAATTTTAGGATTTATGTCAGGTCTTCACGCTTCCATTCATGAGCTAGATCTTAAAAGCAGAAGTGGGCGTGTAGAAGAGGAAAAGTTGTGGTCTCAGGACCTATGTCATGTAGGAGTTAATGGAGTGCACCAAGAAGAGATCCAGCACATTGATTTCTCTCTTTTCCTTCATCACCTTTTTCGTGCCTCACTGAGATTGTCACTTTGAATAGAGTGATCAGAACACCTAGGCATGATACTTAGGTTTTCTTTTACTGCCAGCTTCCTCCTCTAGCCAGCCTAAATTAAGAGAGTATTAAAAGTTGTTGAGGATCCTCAGCTGCTACTGCCTTTTTTTGGTTTCCTTAACCATGTGTGTCAGGGATTCGCAGGAAAACCCATCTGCCATGGCCGGATGCTTTGGTTCTCTCTTCTCAGTCAAGATACAGAGAACTTCATGTTGCAAATCAGAACATTGGAAGGGACCTTAGAAACTTTCTTGTCTAGTCCCTTCACTTCACAGATGAATTGTAAGATTCCCTGCCTCCTTCATAGTCGTAGCGCTAGAACAGAATCCTTTTCTCTTGGGGGCCCTCCAGGAAAAGGATATTTGTGAGATCTGGTCCAAAGTGGACCCAGGAGGGATAGTATGGTGGTTGAAGTACAGACACTGGTGTGACTTTCCAAGTTTGACCCTGAGAAGCCCTTTTCTTTAGATTGTGAAAGTGGTATATGATTGTGGTTTTTGTAGAAAGCCATGGCAGGAAAGGTGGTTAATAAGAAATAGAAGAGAATGGGAACGCCTTGGAAAAAGACAGCATAAGAAATAGCTCACATAGTCCATCCAATTCAAGTTTTCTGATAGGGCTCAAAGGGATGGCAGTCCTAAAAAGTGAAGGCAAGTATCTCACTACTTTTTTTTTTTTAATGTTTTATTGTGAATTATATGATAGTTTACATGTTTACATGAGAGAACTTTAGTCCCACATTCATTCCATCGCACATCACACCATTGCCACGGTTCCAATCCCCTTCATGCATCAGCAACCAACCAAAGGGTATATTCCAGAAACCCGTCCCCTACTCTTCCCCTTCCTCCCCCCAGCTTTCGGCCCACGGGCTCTTTCCCTCTCTGGATCCAAAGTCCCCAGCCGCTTCATCACTCCATGCCATCATCTCTGTCTCCATCTCAGGGATCTCTGGTTCTCTGGGTAGGGTCCCACTCCTGGCTCTTCTCCGTCGATGGTCCCAGAGACCTTCACTCCTAGACTAGAGAAACAATCGCTCCCTTCCTTGCTATAAAACGTCTACCTCTGCACTTCCAACTCTCACAATCAGTCCTGACAACCACTACTCACTACAGTATCACGAGTTACCCATCTGTATTTCACTTCATCAGCTCCGCCCAGACAGATTAGACAGTATTCACTGGAGACTCTGCCCTCCTCCATGCCCCCCAGCTCTAGGTTCCCTCCTGAAAGCTTGCAAGCCAGTCACCTCTTGCCTCTGTAGTCCCCCGCTCCCCATTTGGGTATCCAATGTCAAAGTTGCCCATCTCTGCCCACTCTGTGTGTGGAGGGGGTGGGAATGTTTCTTGCTGTAAGGATTTGTTCCTTCTTTTGAGTCACTGCATCTGCAGGTATAGGTCAAATTCATCAGATTGTATCAGCTCACTCTTTTTTTTCTTCTTCTTCTTCTTTCTTCTCCTGGTTGAGCTTCGATCATCCAGTCATCCAGTCCAGGTCACGTGGGCACCATCCTCAAGTGTGGCCGTTCTTGTGTCCATGCCTTCTCCTCCCATCAGCCAGCAGCTCCACCTTCCATTCAAGTCCTCCGTGGCTACGCCACTAACTCTGGGCCCAAGAGTCCCCAGGTCTCCTCTCACTGCTTGCCAAGCAGGTCCCCAACTGGGTCCACAGAAGCCCACTGAACATTGCAAGGCTTAGCTTGCCGCTTCATTGCTGCTTTTACCCCTCTACCCCATCAGTGATGCTTGTGGTCACCAATCAGAGCATGTATTTCCATTGAGTCTTAGTCTTGGAAGGGGGTTTGCATTGAGAGGACCCGACCACTTGCCTTGATGTTTCCTAGGGAAGCGATTTGTTTGTTCTTGTAGTAACAGTTCCTCTGCCTCTATTGTTTTGTATTTTTCCTGTAGGTCTTTCTTTTAAGAAGTGTCTTTTGTTCTTCTAGCCGCTTCAGCCTGGTCTGCTCGTCCTTTCAAGTGGAGATTTCTGATCTGTGGAGATCTGGATGTGGTTTGGGTTTCTACCTATAGTTTTATGTTCTCACTGCTTTTTGCCAGTATCTCTGATTGTAAGGAAACCTAAGAAGAGTAATAGTATTGGACCAAACTTCACTATTGAAAAGTTCAGGGGAAAGATTGTACAAAGTTGATAAAAATTTCTAATCAAATTGTATCCATGTTTCTATAGATATTGATCATAATTTAATCTAAAAACTCTAAGTAACATTTAAACTAAAAATTATGTGTAAAGACCATGATAAGTCAAAAAGTATTACAGCAAAATCATGAAAACTTTTATTAAACAAAAATATTAAAATATGAAGCTGTTTCTTGATATATTTTCCATCTAGATCTATACATATTTGAAAGCAATGTTTCCACCTCTGCAATCCTTTCCTGAAGAATTCTGTACTCTTTGATTTATACCATTTCAAAATGGCAGTTTGGGCATCTTTGAGGAACTGAAATTGTGTTCGTTTAAATGTTCTTTGAGCTTTGGGAACAAAAGGAAGTCTAAATGGTCAAGATTTATATAGGGTAGATGGGGTAAGTTGTTTCCCAATGAAACAGCCCTTTCTACCTTGACCAATGAGCAGATGCATTGTCGTGATGGAAAATAATTCCTTCACACAACTTTTCTCACCTTTTCCTCATCAATGCAATTTATAGTTCTCTTTATTAACCTTCTTCCTTTTAAGTCCCCATGATTACTCTGTGTCCTTCAAGAAAATCTGCCAAGGTTACCCCTTTGGAGTCCCAGAAAATATTCACTATAACCTTTTTTTTTTTTTTTTTTTTTGTAGCCCCCAGTTTTTGTTTTTTGAAGTTTTTATTGTGAATTGAGTGATAGTTTACATGGGAGACCATCAGTTTTGCACTCAACTTATGGTATTTTGTTTTATTGCAATGATTACAATTCCCTCCGTGCATCACCATTCAACAGTATTTGCTTCTATTCCCTCTGGAGTTTTTTGTTTTTGATTTTGGATGTACACAGAAACATTCAGGAATACATAATCATTTAAACAACCCAAGAGCACATTCTGCAAGCCTGCCTCCTGGCCACCAGCACACAGCCATCACCTCTGCCTCCATCTCTGGTGCTGCTGCTTCTCTGGTTAGGGTTCCAAGTTCTTGTCATGCTCTTCTCTCTTGGTCTGGTTTTGTTGCAGATAGGTTTATTTATTTATTTATTTTTCTTGCAACCTACTTGATTTCTCCTTTATTTGGAAGTTCTGTAACTACACTATTCCCCTTTTTTACTTTGTTTTGTTGCAAACTGGTATCTCTGGTTCCCTATTTTCAGTCTTCTAGGTTTGTTTTACTTTAAATACTTCTGTATCTGAGCTGGGTTCTGGGTGACATTGTCATGTATGTTATTCTCAGTTTGTTGTCTGCTGCTGTTGGTTCTCTGTCCAAAGAACTACTTTTAGTATTTTTTATAAGGTTGGTCTGGTTTTTGCAAATCCTTTTCATTTCTGTTTATCTGGAAATGTCCGATTTCACTGTCATCGTTGATGGACAGTTTTGCTGGGTATATTGTTCTTGGTTGGCAATTGTGTTTTTTTTCATGTGGAGTTTTATATATGTCTTCCCATTATCTTCTTGTCTGCATGGTTTATGCTGAGAAATCAGAACTTAGTCTTACTAGTTCTCCTTTGTAAGCAACTTTACGTTTTTCCCAAGCCGCTCTCAGGATTTTTGTCTTGTCTTTGGTGATTTGGCATCATGGTGATTTTCTTTGGTGGGTCTTTCCTGTTTGGAGTTCATTTAACTTCTTGAATGTCTATCTTCTCATCTTTCATAATGTTAGGATAGTTTCCTTCCAGTAACTCTTGGACCATTTTCTCTATGGTTTTATTTGTGTCTTCCTGTTCTGGAATTCCAATCACATGTAAGTTATTCCTCTTGATAGTGTTCCACATAAATCTTAGGTTTTCTTCAGATTTCTTAATTCCCCTTTCTGATTATTCCTCTTTTTTTTTTTTTTTTTTTGTTTAAATGTTTTATTGTGAATTATATGATAGTTTACATGAGAGAACTTTAGTTTTACATTCAATTCCATCGTATATCATTTCATTGCCATGGTTCCAGTCCCCTCCATGCATCTTCTTCCATGCATTATTCACTACAGTATCGCAAGTTACCCATCTGTATTTCATTTCATCAGCTCCGCCCAGACAGATTGGATAGTACTCACTGGTGATTCTGCCTTCCTCCATGCCCCCTAGCTCTAGGTTCCCGCTTGAAAGCTTGTAAGCCAGTCACTTCTTGCCTTTGTAGTCCTCCCCTCCCCATTTGGGTATCCAATGTCCAAGTTGCCCA